TTTTTTAATTGAACTATAGTTAATTTACAATGTTGTATTAGTTTCAAGTGTACAGCCAAGTGATTCAGTTATACACACACACACACACACACACACATTCTTTTTCAGATGCTTTTCCATTATGGGTTATTACAAGATATTGAGCACAGTTCCCTGTGCTATACCGTAGGTCCTTGCTGACATCTATGGCTTTTCTTCACTCTCTGGTTTGTAAAGGTTGTTTTGAAGTTCCCTCCAGATGATGAGGGTAAATTAGAGCCTGTACATTTTGCAGGTGTATACTGTTGACTGCAGTAAGACGAGTCCCCCATAACAGCCAGTGGGGATATTTGGGGTGCCTCACAACAAAATTCCTAGATGTTATTGTTTCTAAAGAGGAGAAATGTAGGGATCTAGTTATGAGGAATTTGCTTCCTTTACAGGTTTTTTGCTGCAAATACTGCGAGTGTCTCACCAGCTTACTCAGTGACTTGGCTTCCCTGTCTACAAAGTGGAGTGGTCAGGGGTATCTGGTCTCCTGTCTCTGAGCCCCTTTCTGGATTCAATAAATATCCAGTCTTAATTCCCTATTCTCACACTCCCTAGCATTTACAGTGATGGCAAATCTTGATACTCTCCCAGGCAAATTTTATGATAGAAGTCATTAGTTTTATTCAGCTTGTTATAATTTGCATTTTAAATGTATGTTTTTTAAAAGACTGTTAAGATTGCCATAACTTTACCCAGTGATTTGCAAGTCCCAAAGCCTGCCAATTAGGTCAGATGGCCATAGCAGCAACTGCTTCCCATCAGAAGGGCTGAATCACTGAGGAGCGACCACCTTTCAAGTGCTGAGTGATTTACCAAGCCAAGTTACTTTGCACCTTGGGATAAGGAACGTAGGCTATCAGATTTCCATTCATCCTTCTGCCCCTTCTGGTAATTTCGATGTTGATTCTCTAATATGAACTTATTTTTTCCTTTGTTTTCTTTCCAAAATAATATATTCTAGTAAGAAGTTCAAACTGTACATACTTATATAATAATTAGAAAAAGTGTCAAGTTCTCTGTTTCCTCTCTCTAGAGAGAGCTACTCTTAACAATTTTGTGAATATTCTTCCAGATACTATTTTCTATTCTATGTGTTAACATTTTCTTAAGCAAAAAGAGATTGTGTTTACATATACTGTTTTGCAGCTTGATTTTGTCTCCTAGCAATATGTCTTGGAGATGTTTCCATCTTGTATATATAGGTCTGTCTCATTTTTTACCATGGTTCTGGTTTCCATGGTGTTGTCACATCAGAAATTATTTAATTAGTCCTCTTGGGCTTCCCAGGTGGCGCAGTGGTTGGGAGTCCGCCTGCCGATGCAGGGGACACAGGTTCGTGCCCCGGTCCGGGAGGATCCCACATGCCGCGGAGCGGCTGGGCCCGTGAGCCATGGCCGCTGAGCCTGTGCGTCCGGAGCCTGTGCTCCGCAACGGGAGAGGCCACAGCAGTGAGAAGCCCGCGTACCGCAATAGAAGAAAACTCATAATTAGTCCTCTCCAGTCTTAGTTTGGGTGCTCCCAAATCTGGTCCTAAGACAAGGACGTGGGTGCAAGCAGGCTACGAGGAAGGTGATCCCAGGAAACACCAACAAGAGGCTGGGGAAGTGAGACCAGGAAGGGAGGCAGGCCAATCAAGGACGATTTTTTTCTTAATTTATTTAATCAATTAATTGATTGATTTACTTATTTATTTATTTTTGGCTGTGTTGGGTCTTTGTTGAAGTGCACGGGCTTTCTCTAGCTGTGGCGAGCGGGGGCTACTCTTCATTGTGGTGTGTGGGCGTCTCATTGTTGTGACTTCTCTTGTTGTGGAGCACAGGCTCTAGGCACGCGGGCTTCAGGAGTTGTGGCACACAGGCTCAGTAGTTGTGGCTCGCGGGCTCTAGAGCGCAGGCTCAGTAGTTGTGGCGCACGGGCTTAGTTACTCTGCGGCACGTGGGATCTTCCCGGACCGGGGCTTGAACCCGTGTCCCCAGCATTGGCAGGCGGATTCTTAATCACTGCGCCACCAGGGAAGCCCCCAGTCAAGGACGATTGATGCGTGGGTAACTGCAGCTCGGGAGGGCCCCAGGACCACCGTCAGGTTCAGTGATTCTCTAGAAGGGCTCACAGAACTCAGAAAAGCTGTTATACTCCTGGTTATGGTTTATTGAAGTGAAAGGGTACAGACCCAAATCAGCAGAAGGCAGAGTCCAGGAGAGACCGGCTGTGAGTGTCCAGTTGTGTATGGACAGCACTTCATTCTCCCAGTAATGATGTGTGGCAGCATGCTCGGAGGATCACCAACCGGGGAAGAGCACTGAAGCCTCGGTGTCTAGGATTTGGATTGACCCTAGTCCCCAGCCTTTTCAGAGGTCAAGTTTCTATTGAGTGGTCCAAGGCCCCTACCGAAAGTCACATTGTCGGCATACACTGGCACGTCCCAGGCAGAGAGCACCGGGCGCTCATGGTAGGATGCCAGCAACAGAAGCTATGGGTAGCCTCTGGGGTGGGCTGAGGGGGCAGGCAGGGTACCAGCAAGCCTCAGCCACACTTCGTCATGAAGTGTTTTTGTTATTTCCATTTGTCATTCTCACAAATGATGTTCTAGAGCAGGAGTTGGTGAACTTCTTTGTGAAGGGCCAGCTAGCAAAGATTTTCACCTTTGCAGGCCACACAGTCTCTGCTGCAGCTACTCAACTCTGCTGCTGTAGCACAAAAGCAGCTGCGGGCATTATGGAAATAAATGGGTTTGACTGGGTTCCAGTAAAACTTTATTTACAAAAAACCGGTACAGACCAGATTTAGCTTGAGGGCTCTAATTTGCCAACCCCTGCTACAGTGGATCATTCTTGGGTGTTTATCTTTGTCCATTTGTGCAGATAATTCTATGGGACAGATCCCTAGAAGTAGAATTGCTGGATCTGGAGTAATGACATTCTTATTTTGAGCAGATACTGTGAACCTCCCCCAAAAGTTGAACGTGCTTCCTCTTTCACCAACAGTGCCTGAGAACCTTTGAGATTTCCTTTCTTAGAACCACTTGCCAAGGAAGCAAAACCTGCACCTGTTGACTAGGATGTTTGTGCATTTTCAGTCTTGAGCTTTGGAGAGGCAGAGGAAGACAGAACATTTTGCCCCCAGGAAAGAAAACCAAATGGGGCCTGAAATGGTCTCCTAATGTCTTACTTTAGATTTGAGGCCCGCGGGGAAGGGGACTCTGGTGACTTGTTTTCATTTGGTGAAAATTAAACCTTACATTGCCCACTAGGTGTAGTTCAAGAGTCCTGAATGTGACCTATTCAAAAAAGATTTTTTTTTTTTTTAAGATGCATCAGAGAGCTTCTCAGCAATTTCCTTTATTAAGCAAAGATTCTTTTCCTAATTTTTCTCTTCCGTAAGGGATTTTCATATAAATAAGGTCTACCTATGCATAGTGAACACTTTACCAAATGTACAAAAAATATACATGGTCCAATTTTTGTTCATGGAGCTGACAGGTACGGGACACTCTTGATGGAGATGGCACAGCGTTCCACTTAGCCTGGTTCACTCTAGGTCTTTTTTGGGTTTAAAGACAATGGATGGGATTTTTGTTTTTGTTTTTCCACTTTTCTTTTTTTCCCCATATTTTTATGTTTGGAATTCTTTTTTTTTTTTTATTTCCGTTGCAGAGCACAGGCTCCGGATACACAAGCTCAGTGGCCATGGCTCACGGGCCCAGCCGCTCCGCGGCACGTGGGATCTTCCCAGACCGGGGCACGAACCTGCGTCCCCTGCATCGGCAGGCGGACTATCAACCACTGCGCCACCGGGGAAGCCCCCGTTTGGATTTCTTGATGTGAGCCCCACAGGGGGAAACAGAGATTTGTTAGCATTCAAGCTCTGTTTTGGGCTGCATATTTTAGCTGGTTTGTTTGATAATGGGCATCCCTCCTGGGATCCAGCCTGCCTGTGCTCTGCTCACGCTGGGTGAATTTGTGATGGTCCCCTTTCTGTAGTCTTTCATTTGTAACACAGACACAGCCTGCTTCCCCGGTAGTGAGATGGCATGCCTGGACTACCCACATGCAGATAAGGAATTAGGCAGAACTCGGCTGGAAAGATAAATCAAGCTAACTATCTCATTAGGCTTGAAAGACACAAATTAAGCTTGCATGGGAATTAACAGCCTTCCAAAGAGACATGCAGTGCAACAAGGGGAGGAGAAATTGCTGGAGCCCTTTCTCTCAGGAAACTTGCCTCTGTTGCCTAAGTCCCTTTTGTAAAAGGTCAAGAGGTAGAAATTGAGGATCGAAAGAGCAGTGTCGTGTTTATTGAGCACTTACTGAGTGCCAGGCACAGTGTGCATTATCTCACTGAAAGCTCTCAAAGTACTGTTAAGATTCCTGTGTAACCGAGGAGGAAACTGAGTGCCAGAGGGGCTCCTTTGCTTGTCTCAGGGTCTCGGAGCTGTTGAATGACAGAGCCAGGATTCACCTAGGATGTCTGGCCCCATGGCCCAGTGGTTCTTATCTGGGATGAATTGACCCCCTGGGGATACCAGGCCATGTTTGGAGACTCAGGGGTTGTGACAGCTGGGGGCGGTGGGTGCTACTGGGATCTGGTGGGTAGAGGCCTGAGGTGCTGCTGGACATCCTACAGTGCACAGGATGCCCCACAAAGAATTATCCAGGCCCCAGTGTCAACAGTGCCGGGCTTGAGAAGCCTGGTTTAAGTGCTCAGCTGGACTCCAGTGGTGGCTGGCAGTTCCACCAGGACTGTCCGGCTGTAGTGCCCTGAGGACAGTGTGGTGAGTCTACGAGTCAGAAGCTTAAATTTGCAGCCAAGGGACTCGTGGGAGGATGATGAGGGAATCCGGGAATTCTCATGGTTAAAAGTGTCCTGAGAACAAGGACCTTGCACCTGCAGTTGAGGAGTATGGAGACTAACACCTCTGTCTTGCTCCTGCCTCCCGTCCTGCCCCCTCCTCCTCTCGCCCCTCTGGCTAGTGTTCGGCCACAACATGAAGAGCAGCAATGACTTCATCGGGAGGATCGTCATCGGCCAGTACTCTTCGGGCCCCTCAGAATCCAACCACTGGCGGCGGATGCTCAGTGCCCACCGCACGGCCGTGGAGCAGTGGCACAGCCTGCGGTCCCGGGCCGAGTGTGACCGTGTGTCCCCTGCCTCGCTGGAGGTGACCTGAGGGCTGCGGGGAAGGCAGCTTTCATTTGTGAAAAAAGGAAGAAAACTTAGGACAAAAAATATGCCATATATGTATACTATGACATCCACATCTGCACACACACTCCTCACCACACGCACAGCTCCTCTCAGAACCGAAAGGAAGCTGACTCTTGATCACACACTGGCCGCCCTCAAGGAGCGAGGCCCGCGAACTTCCCAGAATTCCCCTGCACAGGTCATGAGCTGAGTGGGCTCCGCTCCGAGACTTACGGGCAGTGCTGGCTCTCGTGGATCCCCCTGCCCCAAAATGCACTTTCAACCTCAGGCCAGAGAAAGGCCTCCCCAAAGGTGCCAACCTCCATTGAGACAGAATTTTCCAAGAGTTTGGCCAGTGTTGGGAGGCCTGACCCCCATATGCCCAACATGCACACCCACTGGGTGACTTCTGAATGGGCTGCTGTTCCTAGGGGTTCTTCAAACCTGGTACCTTTCCCCAAAAGTGTTAAGTACTCTGTCTTCTCTTTAGTAGATGTGATAAATAGATTAGACTATTTGGAGAAACCAAACGGCAACAAAAAATATTCCGGTGTAAGAAGGCGCTCCTGGCTTCGTTGAACTCGTCCTTGTGGTAGCTTTTCTTCTGGGGACTCCCTGTGGGTATGTATGCGGACGTTCTGGTGTGTGTGCCCTCAGGTGAGCACGTGTGTGTGCCTGTGTGTCCCCTTAGTGAGCAAGGTGCTGGGCCGGGACCTCAGTCCTGAGTACTCCCTTCTCTCTGCCTCGCCCGTCAGTGAAGTTTCACCCAGCGCCCTCCCATCTGTGAAGACCCCACCTTCAGTAACAGTAGCGTGTGTGTAAGTCAAGTAAACAAAACACGATAGAGCAGAAGTAACGTTTTTTGACCGAATCATGGCGACTGCGACTCACAGAAGACCGGTAAAGGACAGCTACAGGGAAGAAAATGGCCACCACGGCTGCTGCACGCCCCCATCCAAGACGACACCCCTCCCCGTCACACCCTGAGGATCGCTCTGTGTTTGTGTGTGAACCAAAGTCATCTCTCTCGTGCTAAGAAATTAGTGTAGTTAGAATAGATCTCTCTCTCTGTTGGATGCTTCTGTATCTTTTCCCACAGCGTATTGTCTGGTATAATGGGGAGCTATTTATTGACATTAAAGATTATCTATTTGTGCCATGCATTTGAGTTATCTTTTTCTTCGTGAACATGGGCATGGAGGGTAGGAGGGTGTTTCAGTTCCTACCACTGTGTAACACGTCATCCCAACGGCTCAGAGCACTGGTATTTATTATGCTCACAGATTCTGTGGCTGCAGAATTGAGAGCAGACACGGGGATGGCTTGTCTCTGTCCCATGAGACCTACGGCCTCAGCTGGAAGACTCGAGGGCCACAGCGGGTATAACCAGACAACCGGTCGCGCTGGACATTGTTGGTAAGATGAGTGTGTGGTCTGGGAAGGAAGAACGGTCGAAACGTTAAGATGTATTCATCTGACGACTGACAGGAGAACCCGTGCAAAGAGAAGATGAGGATTTATGTTAGGTCCCTCCCATTGCAAGCAACAGGAAATTAACACAAAATAGTTTAAGCAACGAAGGAAGTCCTGGCTTCAGGCATAGCTGGATCCAGGGCCTCAGATGAAGTGATCAGGGCTTTGTTGATCGTGCTGTCTCCTGGACAGGCTCTCCCCATTCGGTGAGCGTCATGGATACCAGCAGCTTAAGTTCCAACTCATACTTATCATCAAGACCCAGCTTAAACTACCACTTCCTGATTTTCCAAGACAGAAATGACAGCTGCTTCCTGTCCTCCCCACAAGAAGCTTATATTTCTATTTAACTCTTGGGGCCTTACTGTGTGCTAAGCCCAATACCTGCACAGTCTTGTTTAGTTCTCACAACAACCTTTTGACAAAGAAGCTATTATTATCCCCATTTTCCAGGGGAGGAAAGTAACGCTTTTTCCTATAAAACTATTTGCTTGTTCAGGGCAAGAGCCATGGCTACTTAGCTTTCTATTGGCCATGCCCAATAAAAGGGGCTTGACCTAGGTAACCCCCTGTGGGCTGAGATGGCTTCACCCCTTCTGGCCACATTGGGCATTGCAGGGTCCCCTCGTGGGTCCCTCTGGTGTCTCTCACTCTGGAGTGGAGATGGCACGAAGGTCAAGGGGGAAAGGCTGGGAGGTTGAGTTAGGTTATGTTTGTTAGGAGACAAAAGGAGAAACTTTTCCCTCTCTATAAAATGGCTTCCTTCCTGTGGTTGTACAGAAGAGGATAAAAATATGAGAGAACAAACAGAATGAGGAAAGACAGAAACAGGACAGGCATTCGGGACTAGAGATGAGGTTATACGGTGATTGGGCCCGTGGGCTTTGGAGCCAGAGAGGCCATGGTTCAAACCCCAGGCCCAGCACACCCTACCTGTGCCCTCACACAAGCCGCGGAGCTGCTCTGGGCCTCAGTTTCCTCATTACCTTACATTGGGCACTTCAGAAGCCGACGTTGAGGCAAGGACTCGGCTGCCAGTGGTTTATTTGGGAGGTGAGCCCAGGGAGCGTAAATGGAAGGATAAGTCAGGGGAAGGAGAAAGGCAGAGGCTGCTTTAACGGGCATTGTGCGCAGCTGGGGCTCAGTCGTGCTGGGGGCCCACGTAGAGTGCGCTTGAGAATGATCGTTATGGGGAAGCTGGGCTATTTAACTACTGCCCCTCGTCTCTCAGCGCCTGAGGGGACAGCCCCGGAGGCGTTCAGTGATTGGCAACTTAGGACTGTCCTGTGTGGGCTGAGCCAGCTTGGGTAGCCCCGAGAACTCCCCGGGCAGAGAATGAGGGGCATGTGCCCGAGCAAGTGAGCTGTCCCTCTGCACGGCCCAGCCCACCTCAGCATCGGGGGAACTCAGGTGGCCGAGGGCTGGGAGTGGGGCATCCCCAGCATCTGCTCCCCTGGTTTACAATAACCACAGGGCTGACTAGGCACCGTGCCAAGTGCTAAGCATCTCATTTAGTCCTCATGCAGCACCCCACGTGAGAGGTGTTCTTATTCCTCTTTTATAAATGAGGAAGCCGAGGTTTCCTGGGATTGAGTGGCAAGCGGGCATTAGAGCTAGAATGCCAGCCCAGGCCCAGCTGACTCTAGAGCCTGGTATGGGCTAAACTGTATCTCCCCCCAGACTCACATACTTCATGAAGCCTTAACCCCCCGTACCTCAGCGTGTGACTGTATTGGGAGGTAGGCTCCTTAAAGGCAATTAAGATTAAATGAGGTCATCAGGGTGGGCCCTAATTCAATACGACTGGTGTCCTTATATTAAGGGGAAATTAGGACGCAGAGACAGACACACAGAGGGAAGACGGCATCTACAAGCAAGGAGGGAGGCCTGGAGACCCAGGCCAAGGAGAGCTCCTTCCTTCCCAGCCTCAGAAGGAAGCAACTCTGCCAACACCTGGACTTCAGACTTCCGGCCTCCAGAACTATGAGGCTATGAAGCTCTGTTATTTAAGCCACCCAGTTTGTGGTCCTTTGTTACGGCAGCCCTAACAAACTCATATAGAGCTGGTGTGGCTGACCGCTCTGCTGGGCTGTTTCATCTGAAAATAGGATGACCGTTCTTACCCCATAGGGTTGTATGTGACATGAGGGTTAGCCGGGATAAATGCCTGCAAAGGCCTAACACACAGCACTTGATGGCTATTCCTACTGGGCACACATCAGGCAATGTTTGCTGAGTGACTGGAGAGAACAGCAGAAGCACAGATGTCAGAGCCATCCACGTCTCCAAGGATAGTTTGTCAGGAGATCAGGGAAATGTGTTGAAAGGTGAAAAAATGACTTGGTTTCTATAGAAACCTGGACCCCAGGTGCCTTATTGTGGGCCACCTGCCCGGTTTAATTAGCATCCTCCTTCTCCTCGGCCAGGAGGTGAGAAAGGAGGTGCATGGGCCACCTACACACCCTCTGGGGTGCGGGGACCTGAGTTCAAAGGAAGGAGGTAGAGGAGAAGCGGTGGTGTCAAGTTTTGAATCTGCATCTATTTTCCCAGGGCTCATCTTGAGCTGTCTCATCTCTGGGGACTCCAGATCCCCTCAGGACTCCAGTCTACCCCTGGGACTTGACAGAAGCTATGACCTCTGCCCAGCCCTGCCCAGATGTGCTGGTTCCCAGGGCACCAGGAACAGCTGTTTTGGGTGCTGATACTTGACTCCCAGAAAGCTGGGAATCACTGTAGGGAAAGAGGAAGAGTTCCTTTCCTTTCTGGGTGGCCTGTCTTCTACCGCCAGTGGGATACCTTTTCTTTTTTCATGGTCAAAAATAGCATTTAAAAGAATCCAGGAATGAGCACCACTAAGTAAAAATTTAAAACTTATGTCTAGAAAAGAGACTGGAAGACATTGCCCTGAAGGTTGCAGGGGTTAACTTTTGGGAAGTGGTTTTGCTTCTCAATTTTATACCTTCCTATTCCGTTTTTTTGAAGGTTCCATAGTGATGTAATGGTAGTTAACATATATTGAGCATTTATGGGTCAGGCATTGTTCTAAGCACTTGTATGAGGAAAAGTATTGATTTGTCCCCATTTTTCGGATGAGGAAACTGAAGCTAAGATGGATTAAATAATCAGTGTGTGGTCACACAGAAGCAGGTCTGGAATTTGAACATAGATACAGATGTGCCTGGATTGAAAGGCATGAAATAAACTAGCCTCTATTGTCCCTTTTATGATGGTGGTGAGGGGAAGGGAACTTTGTTTTACTTACTGGTAAATAAATGACAATTTTAAAAAGCTAAGAAACTAAAGGAGACAGATAGATAGGCAGACAGATGATAAGAAGAAAGAAATAGATCTTCACCAAACCCCCAGGCCACCATGAGCACAGTGTGTGTATGCGTGTGTGTACGCATGGGCCCGGGGTGGGGGGGAGAGTAATGTCTTTAAGAACCCAGAAAATACATACTGTGTTACAGAGAGACCTCTACAACCTCCAAATGGCAGCAAAGATCCTATTTGTTAAGTGAATAAATTGTCTATTTCCTAGCCAGTAAACTTGAGGTCTAGAGCAAGAGGTGGCAAGCTATGGCCCGTGGGCCAAATCCAGCCCACTGCTCGTTTTTGTAAATAAAGTTTTATTGGAACCTGGCCAGACCCATTCCTAAAGTCTTTCACAGAGTTGTGACAGAGACCATGCGGCCTGCAAAGCCACTACTATCTGGCTCTTTACAGAAAAAAAATTAAAGTTGCTGCTGTGTAGGATGAGTAAGTCTGGAGATGTAAGGTACAGCATAATGATTGTAGTTCATCACACTGTACTGAACACTGGAAATTTCCTAAGGAGTAGATTTCAGGGACACTCACCACACACAAAAGGTAACCCTGTGAGGAGATAATATGTTAATTAGTTTGACTGTGGTATCATTTCACTATATATATGTATATCACATCATCATGTTGTATGCCTTAAATACAAACTATTTTTTTAAAAAATAGAATTTTTTAGAAACGTTGCCTACCCCCATCTAGAGCAATGCTTCATAACATTAATGTACACATGACTCCCTGGGGATCTAGTCAAAATGCAGATTCCGATTCAGCAGGCCTGGGGTGGGGCCTGAGGTTCTGCATTTTTAACGAGCTCTGAGGAGATGCCAACGCTGCTGGTCCGTGGACCACACTTGGGAATGAGCGTGTCACAAATACTTTACATGTTTCCATCCAGAGAGGGGGCATGAACCAGCTTACCCAAACCTCCAGCCGTCACATACTGTATTATCAGCACAGGTCATTTAGGAGGTTTATTTGCCAAATCAAAGGCTCCTCCACTTTTCAAAAGTATTTCCAGCGGCCTGTGTCTGACGACTCTCCTTTTCCCCCAGGTTCATTCACGCAGAGGGTGTTTGATTTCCATGACAGCAGGGGCCTCTAAGTACAGTCAGCACACCAGATGATGGGGAGTGGGGAGAAAGCCTTCCAACTTTCTTCCATTTTTATAGTTTGTATCAACTTTTTTAAAAAGTCCGTTTGGGGGAGGGCTGTTTTATAACAGACACGATGCACATCACTTATATAATAAACATATGTCATTTATAAATAAATAAGTGCACATGCTCTGGGGGGCCTCATCGCAAAGCTTTGAGACAACGGGTAGACGTGAGTTACGCCATGGCTGAAACTGGGCCTGGGCTGTGCT